CCCGTGCGTGCATATACATGGATCATGGGAAAAGGTCAGAGAACCAGCAGGTAAAAATCTACCTGACTGTGAGTCAAACCATCCCCTAGCCCACTTCTCTAACTGTTGTCTGAGTTTTTATGGTGCTGTTGATAAGATATGTGGAGAGAGGCAGAATGCCGTTTGGTGCTTTGGTAGCATTTGCATCATCTTAAGAACATAAGAGAGCCGTGCTGGGTCAGACCAGACCAAAGAACATCCCTTTGAGCATCCTGTTTCCCAAAATGGCCAGCCAGATATGTCTAAGAAGCCCAGAAACAGAACATGCAAGCGACAGCCCTCCCCTCTTATCCCCCAGAAAATGGCATTCAGAGGTACAGTGCCCCTGAACATGGAAGTTCATTTAGCTTTCATTCTCAGAGCCAGACCCAACCTTCATGATTTTATCTAATTCCCTCTCAAAGCAATGGCTATGGCCACATCCTGTGGAAGGCAGTTTTGTAAATATGTGAGTTATGAAGGAGTGCTTTCTTTGTCTTTCCTGAATTTGCTGGCAACCATCTGCTGTTGACTGGTAGTGTTAAAAAGAAATTGACTGGAGTTCTAACTCTTTGAAAGCAACTCGACGCCTGCCTAAGTGTTGGTTAGAGTGCCAAGAGGTGAGACGAAAGTCTGAAGTCTTAAATAAGCTAATTACAATAATTCTCATGAATTTTCATTGGTTTCCTTTTGTGTCTAATGTACAGATCATTGATTACATAAGAATAAGACAGGCCTATTGAACATATCAGTTCTCTCAGTACCAGTTCTTTAGAAGCTGAGGCACAAATCCATAATTTAATTATTTTCTTTGGCTTATGTTTAATTATAGTCTAAATGGACAGACTTGAAAGTAAAATAGCTGTTAATCTGTCTTTTTTGTTGAGGGGTTCTAGTAAACATGGTTTTATTTCACTTTTAGAAGGCTGAAAGTTCAAGAACACATGATTTTTAGTTTTCCAGTTCAAGTATGATTTCTTAGTTTGGTGTAGTAAGTGTGCGGACTCTAATCTGGAAGAACCGGGTTTGATTCCCCACTCCTCCACTCGCAGCTGCTGGATGACCTTGGGCAAGCCATAGTTCTGTCAGAGGTGTTCTTGAAAAGAGCAGTCTCTGTCAGAGCTCTCTCAGCCCCACCTACCTCACAGGGTGTGTGCTGTGGGGAGGGGAAGGGAAAGGAGTTTGTAAGCCACTCTGAGTGAAGGGTGGGGTATAAATCCAATCTCTTCTTCTCTTCTCTATTCCTTGCTATTTTCATTCTTTTGTTCTGCTTAGGGCAAAGTAAGCCAAACTTTGAAAACTGCCTAAACATATCTGGTCTTATGAGCCCATATTCAGAAATTTAGAAATAATGTCTTGATTTAAGCTAACTGATACTTTTTTAAAAAAATGAAAGCATCTATAGGATGTTGAAGATATGAGTAAAGAAATGGCATTTTTGAAATTCAAATTCACTCTCAACCAACCTTTTTTCCATCTGTGGGTAGAAAAGCAGCTGCAAGTGCAGCTTATTTGCCTGCTGAAATTTACAGCCTCCCGTGTCTTTTTTTCATTAGAAAAGAAACATTAAGGGGGCTGTTGTCTGCCCTGCCTGTTGATTCTTAGATCCCAACCAGTATGATATGTATTTTAGTTGATACCTGTATGCTTTTGAAGAGTGCTTTTTATTAGTGATGCCACAAAATTTTTAAAAAAGAGCTCACAACTCAAAATCTCATCTTTTTCATATCACTACTTGATCCCACTTGCCCTGAAACTACAACTAAGAAATTATATGAATGTAAAATGTATTTTATACTTACGGGCTGTTTTGTCCCTGCATGGTAAGTCTTCATCAGACTAAGTAGCTGAGGCGAAAATCCGAGGTTGGCTCATATGCATGCTCAAAAGTTGATCATTTTGACTTCTTTCTTGGACTTGATGAAAATCTTGGGTGGCTGAAACTGAGTTGACATTGCTGGGAATAAATTGACTGAATATAATACCCAGAGCTGCTCTAGATATCTAATGGGCTGGATCCAGCCATCCTCTGGGAAGACTTCCTCCAGTCTATGGACACATCCTTCAACTTAAGGGGCTCTTCCTCCAATGGAAGAGCCCCTTGTTGGAGAAAATCTCCTTAGGCCGGAGGAAGGCTTCAAGTGTTGCTCAGAGGAGTGGCAGGATAGGGAATAGTATCCACCTTAATAACTCTTCCACCATTAGGGGATGATACTAATATAAATGGAAGAAGTGCATGCAGCCAATCATGGAGAAAGGTGTCATGACACACAATATACACAGAAGGAAGGGGAAGGTCACATGGTTGCCCAGGCAACTCCCTCCCAACACACATGCACAGGAACAACTGTGAGGCAATTTAGAACTCCTGATAAAAGGCTTCCCCCCCTCCCCTTTAGTGTTTGTCAGTGCCTCTCATAACTGGTAACCTGATTGCTATTTCAGCTGCAGGGAATTCACCCATCATTTTTTTTTTTTAATAATTTGGTGAATTAGGTTCACTTTTAGGACTGGATATGTTTCATTGGTTGTTGTGTTGTTGTGTTGAACAGGGCTGGGGGTGTTGTTTGGACAGTAATTTATTAATCCATTTCTGTCCCATTCTTCCATCTCAATGATCCACCCAATCTGATGACATTAAAAATACCTGTCAAGCATGAACACAAAAAATTAAACACAGAAGAGTCCCGGAAAATAAGTGAATTAAATGAAATATAAAGCAGCAGCATTCAGCAACCTGTCATCTTTCCTTGTCAAAAGCTCTCTTATGTAGAACAGTTTTGACATCTCTACAGTAGAGGGGTGCTGGTGGTCAGGTGGACAGATGAGGAAGTCCTACCCCTGGGGATTTCCTATCTTAATTCTGTCAGATTGTCAACCGATGAAGCAATGCTTCAGATGATGATCTAAGCATGGTGTTCCGACTCATGTGGGATAAAGTGCTCTTTTGGACACCCTGGTCCAAGATTATTTAAGCTATTATAGATCAAAAGCATTTTGAGTTGTGCCCAGATTAGTGAAGGCATCTGAGCTTCAGCATTATGTCTTTTGGTCCCATCATGGGAAGACAAGACTCACTGAAAAAGACGATAATGCTTGGGAAAGTTGAAGGCAGCAGAGAAAGAGGAAGGCCCAGCATGAGGTAGATTGTCTCAATAAAGGCATCCTCGGCCATCAGTTTGCAAGACTTGAGCAAGGCTGTTAATGATGGGATGCTTTGCAGGTCATGAATTCATAGGGTCACCAGAAGCCAGAAGAGACTTGGTGGCGCATAACACACATGCGTTATATGCTCACACTCAGACCAAGTGCCAATTAACAATTTTGCCATCACATTCATGACCAACTGGAAGGCCTGAGTAGTTTTCAAAGGCCATCACAGTTAGAATGCTTTGCAATAATATCGGATTGGATCCAGTGATCAGTCTCTCCTCAGTGCAGCCCCACAATCTGCATAGCTGCTAATGCACACAGATCCTGCAACCCCAGGAATCAACTTCCCTGGGGTCAGAAAAGACTGCTGGGAATGAGCTGAACATGGGAGGGATCCACAATCCTTGTATAACAGATCATTGGATCTGACCCTAATGTGGAAGTTACCAAGGCACAGCTGACAGACAGTGACTGTCACAATCCCCTCAGAAGAGGGTTCAGTCAGTGTGCAAACCAAACCACCAAGGGAATTGAGTCTCACCTTGGCTCCCAGCTGTGCTTGGATAAAGGTTGCTAGAAAGTCCAATTACCACTGTCCCACCTAACAGGTGGATATGACTCAAAGTGACAGACCGGGCAGAACAGAAACAACTTGGGTGAAGTTTTAAAGTAATGAAGAACACAA